GCGGAGCCAATCGCGGCGGGCCTCAGCGCGGAGCGGGCCCGCGGGCGGGGCCGAGGGTCCGGCTTAGGCGGCGGCGGCGGCGGCCGAGTCGGGTCCGGTCCGGGTTCGCTCGGTGGCGGGCGCGGCGATGCTGCAGCTGCGGGACTCGGTGGACTCGGCGGGCACGAGCCCCACGGCGCTGCTGGCGGCTGGCGAGGAAGTCGGGCCGGGCGGCAGCGTCGGTGGCGGCGGCGGCGGCGGGGGGCGGCTGGGGACGGGCACTCCGCTGCGACAGACGCTGTGGCCGCTCAATGTCCACGACCCCACGCGGCGCGCCCGCGTCAAGGAGTATTTCGTGTTCCGGGTGAGGCTGGGAGCGGGGGCGGGAGAGGGCGTGGGTGGGCGGGGCGGGCGAGCGGGCGTGACCTGTGACTTCCGCCCCCGGCCCGCCCCGCACGCTCCCAGCAGCCTGGCACCATCGAGCAGGCGGTGGAGGAGATCCGCATGGTGGTCCGGCCCGTGGAGGACGGCGACATCCAGGGGGTGTGGCTGCTGACCGAGTAAGGGGGCGCGCGCTGGGGAGGGGGCCGGGCGCCTGTGCGCCCCGGGCGCCGAAGTAACCGCTGCCGCCCGCAGGGTCGATCACTGGAACAACGAAAAGGAGCGGCTGGTGCTCATCACCGACCAGGCGCTGCTCATCTGCAAATACGACTTCATCAGCCTGCAGTGCCAGCAGGTGGTCAGGGTAGCCTTAAACGCGGTGGACACCATCTCCTACGGAGAATTCCAGTTTCCCCCGAAATCGCTCAATAAGTAAGTGTGTTGAACAGAGAGCCCACCACCAGGGCCTCCCAGTCAGCGCTTCCGAAACCAGCCTTCAGTGAATGTCTTGCTTCAACAGCAAGAGTGTAGAGACAGGTGACTTGTGCCCCACAGGGTGCGTTAGAAGGAATTCTGGCACAGGAGACAGTTATTAGGCTTGTAGTAAAATGAACTCAGGGTACGTTAAAATAGGCCCGACGTGGGTATTCTTCAGATAAGAGCCAAACTCAGCATTTTACTCCCGCCAAGAAAGGATTACACCTGTCACCTCAAGCTCTGTTGTGGTTAATTTTTAAAAGAAAAAGGTAGTGTGTCGCTTTGATTTGCAGATATTACTGAAGATTAAATTTGGAAACGTTTGATGGCCAGTTTTCAAGAGCTGATCTTCATCTGTTAGGGAGGTTTCTGAAACGTGAGAAACCTGGCCATCAGTATACTCCGTTGAATTAAACGGTATATTTGAGAGTTTTGATGAAGAGATTTGGGGAGGGAATTCAGGAAGCTAAGATAAGCTCAGAATTTTGGCCAACAATAAGATGCTCAGGGAAAAGGATTTAAACTTGCAAAAATATTATTCGTTTAGTTAGCACAACTAAGACAGTGCTTTCAGTTTGTCATGTTTTAAAGTGCTGAAAGCTGTCGTTATTAGACACGCCATTCCTGTCAAACCCCACGGGTCCTTCACTGTTGTGAAATGTCATCAGTCTTATCTTTACCGGTGGAACAGCTTTTTAATCTCACACCCACGACTGAGCAGGTGCTCGGGGGCGCCATGGCCTGCTGTGTGAGGTCTGGTCCCTTTCTTCCCACTCGGTAGGCGGGAAGGTTTTGGGATTCGCATCCAGTGGGACAAGCAGAGCCGCCCGTCCTTCATAAGCAGATGGAACCCCTGGTCCACCAATGTGCCATACACCACGTTCATAGAGCACCCGATGGCCGGCGTGGACGAGAAGACGGCCTCTCTGTGCCAAGTAAGAACACACACAGCAACAGCAGCGCTGCCCAGTGGACGGGAACGTTCCAGGCCTGTGCTGCCCAGGGCGGTGGCCACATGGGGCTGTGAGCACTTGAACAGCGGCTACACAGAGAAAATAAACTCTTTTTTCCCATAAATTCATTTATTTAGTTTTTCTTTTTTTGGCTGTATTGCTGTGTGCGGGCTTTCTCTAGTTGCCGTGAGCCGGGGCTACTCTTTTTTTTTTAGAAGATGTTGGGGGTAGGAGTTTATTAATTATTTATTTTTGGCTGTGTTGGGTCTTCGTTTCTGTTCGAGGGCTTTCTCTACTTGTGGCGAGCGGGGGCCACGCTTCATCGCGGTGCGCGGGCCTCTCACTATCGCGGCCTCTCGTTGCGGAGCACAGGCTCCAGACGCACAGGCTCAGTAGTTGTGGCTCACGGGCCTAGTTGCTCCGCGGCATGTGGGATCCTCCCAGACCAGGGCTCGAACCCGTGTCCCCTGCATTAGCAGATTCTCAATCACTGCGCCCCCAGGGAAGCCCCCGGGGCTACTCTTTACTGTGGTGCATGAGCTTCTCATTGCGGTGGCTTCTCTTGTTGCAGAGCACGGGCTCTAGGCACGCAGGCTTCAGTAGTTGTGGCACGTGGGCTCAGTAGTTGTGGCTTGCAGGCTCTAGAGCGCAGGCTCAGTAGTTGTGGTGCATGGGCTTAGTTGCTCCGCGGCATGTGGGATCTCCCCGGACCAGGGCTTGAACCCGTGTCCCCTGCACTGGCAGGCGGATTCTTAACCACTGCGCCATTGGGGAAGCCCCAAATAACCTTTTGGTTTTTAGAAGTTTGTTAACTTACGTCTAAATAGCCCTGTGTAGTTAGCAGCTGCTGGTCAGCGTAGCTCTACGATGGGGTCCTCTGTGGCTGTGGTCGTCTTGGAGAAGGGTCCAGAAGGGCTTCGGGGTGTGGCAGGTGACCCCCGCCCATGGTAGAGCTGGGCAGTCTGCGTGCTCAGCAGGAGAGGAGGCCTTGGGGTGGTGAGAGCCGGGTCCAGGACTGGCGACAGGCCCCCACTTGCCAGCTGTGCACCTTGGCCTGCTCACCGCCTGGTGGGTGGTGGGGAGGAGTAGGTGGGTCACTACGGCAAAGCCACGTCGACCGGCAGAGTGAGGCCCGTGAGGACTGGCTGTAGCCAGTCACAGGTGAGCGCAGAGGTGAGGTGTGACACTTGGAGGGTGACGCGGAGGAGATGAGCCCAAGGGCTGCTGGATGCGTCTGGGCAGGCGTCTCTCCAGGGTGGGGACGGGCTGACACAGACGCGTGGGGGATCATCTGATCAAGCTCCCTGTCTTCTCTTTACAGCTGGATGGCTTCAAAGCTCTGTTAATCCAAGCTGTCAAAAAAGCCCAGAAGGAGAGTCCTCTGCCGGGCCAGGCTGGCGGCGTGCTGGTCTTGGAGTGCCCCCTCCTCATCGAGACCTATGTGGGGCTGATGTCCTTCATCAACAACGAGGCTAAGCTGGGCTATTCCATGACCAGAGGCAAAATCGGCTTCTAGGCACCACACACGCACATGGGTCTCTTCCCTGGGAGAGCCAGGCCGATGGGACCCTGGGGGCATCAGGCCTCTGGCCAGCTCCACTGCCGCTGGCAGGGTCCGAGCCCCTTACCTGTAGGGGTCTGGGCACGATTAGCATAGTCAGATGGACCATATACTTTAGCTGGATACTGGGCATCTGGTCGCGTGAGCTCCAGACAAAGCAGAATGAATATCGCTGTCACCGTCCTGGCCGGCATCTGCTTCCTAGAACCTCAGTTTCCGTGCCCCCCACCGCTGGGGTCTCCATCTGGCTTCCCGTGGTCCCTCCCACCCCAGCCCTGGAGCATGTTAATAATAAACGGCACCGCAGCTACATAGATCGCTGCATCCAGGGAGGCGCCTGAGACTCGGTGCCTGTGGTGGTTTACAGTTGCTGTCCAAATCTGCATTTGGAGATTTAATCCACTTTCTTAGAGCTAATTTGAAAGAAGCCAGCAGGCACGAGCTCATCAAGAGACGGTCTGCCTTGTCAGCTCCTGAACGGACGGACACTGGCTTATGTGGAAATATGTGTTCGGCCTAAAGTCACACTTTTTCTAAAATTAACCTATATTGTGTTAATAATACTTATGGCATCTTTCCCAGGCCCAAAAAGGTTTACAGAAAATCAAGACAAGTCATTAGTCTGAGAAAGTCACGTTGATAAGTTCTTTGCACACAATTTTGTCAACTCGGTTAAGTTTGTATTGTCATATTCATATTGAAAAAGGGAATTGCTTAGTTTGCTTGTAAAGAATGCACTTCTGAAAAGGAACCACATCAGAGTCTCCTGACGCAGCTCACCCCTAGATGCCAGCCCGGGGGAAGTCGTTCCCGTCCACGGCTGAGCGGTCTGCTGGGAGCGTCTGTTGAGGATTTAACTGCTGGCCCGCCGGTTCCTCCTCATTATTTCTGACTCTGGCGTAGCTGTGGTCAGCATGGCCGTGATTCGGATGCAGGGTCCTGTCCACATCGAAAGGCTGCCTCACAACTCCGCCTGGGTCCTGAGCCTTTGCTTTCGGTCTTGTAGTAAAGACATTTAAAATCTGAGTTGAAACATTAAAACAGTGGGTGTCATTCCTTTCTTAAAAAGTTATTAAAATAGGTGCAACAACCAAGAAAGTGTCCTGTTAAATGAGAGAATCTTAGAGCATGAGCTGTTCTGTGCGCTGGTTTTGAGCCCTTTGCTGTGTGCACAGTGAGGGTTCTGTACCACTCGCTCCCCTCATGGCCACCAGGGAGTGGTGTGCACTGCCCAGCCTCTACCTAGGGTGACAAACCCTCATTCCCCCACCAGCCTTCTCAGCCCTGGCCGCCTTCCTGAAGCACCCGGATTGTTCCAGGTGGACAGCCAGAGCGGACGGTCCCTGCGGGGAGCCGACCTTGACCCAGCCGCCCCAGGGCCTGCAGCTCCAGCCTCCCTTGGAGGTACAACCCCACCCCGGGTGCTCAGGGCTCCCCTCCTCTCCGGAACAGGCCCCATGGGACCCACAGGCCACTCTCCAAAGCGTTCAGTGACAGAATGGAGGCTCCGAGCAGAGCGGGTCTTGTGTGAGGGGGACTGGCCGCTTGGGGCACAGTTTCCCTAAGACAGTGAACCCCAAACTTAAAACTGACCTAGAAAACTTCCCCGTGACCTAAACCTTTGAAGAAAGTAAGCAAGAGACATTTTATGAATTAGCAAATATTTATTTTAAGTAACAAAAATTAGTTTCATACCATACATATTAACAAAAATGGCTTGCTGTAGAAAAACAGAAGCAAAGCGCTTCCTCCGGGCCACCCCAGTGGGAGACGCAGCACCAAGAAGCTCTGCTCCTTTCCCACGGCCAACACAAGCCAAGGTCTCCCACCTTGAGCCACGTGGGCCTGATCGTGCACGGGTCCTACGTGTGGTCACCCCTCTGCCCGAAGGCTGTGCCGACCCCCTGCTCCGTCTCCAGGAAGCACAGGCAGAAGTGGTCCTTGCTGAGGAGGGCCAGGGAGTCCCCGCTCGGGTGCCAGCACACGGAGAGTACCTGGAAGTCGCCTGGAGGAAGCCAGGAGGTTAGAGCAGGATAGACCAGCGTTCCAGGGTGACCCAGCTGGAGCCCCAGAGTTCAGCAGGTGGGAAGGCTCCCCCTGGCCTGGGACGCTAAACGCCGCGGGCCCCAGTCAAGTGCGCACACCCGGCGGCCCTGAGGTTTATGGAAAGGTGCCTCCCGAGAAGGGCTTTCACCTTCTGCTCGAGGCCGTGTTTGCTCGCATCCCCGCTTGCGCTCACCTTCCCCGGGTACCTGCACCGACACGCAGCCTGCCGGCGACCACAGGTACACCTTGCCGCCCCCTGTGCAGATGGCCAGCCGGGCCTGCCGCGGGTCCCACTGGAAGCAGCGCACGGCGGACAGCTGCTCCAGCACCGCGAGCAGCCTCAGCTTCTGGATGTCCCAGATCCAGACGGCGGTGGGGACACTGTCTAAGGAAGGAAGACGTGAACAGGCCCGCGGTCACCCCTTGCTCCCCTGCTTGAGTCCCCGTGCCGCTCACGCCTGAGGACGGATGCTGCCTGGGGTCTCAGCGGGGGAGGGCCCTCCCCGGGGCTGCCTGGCACACACGGGAGTCCTGTCGGCCTGAGCCCTGCTCCTTCCCAAAGAGGGACATAGAGGGAGCAGAGGCCAGGGCCTGAGGTGCAGCGGCTGGGCGGCTGCTGCTCCGATGGGCCCAGTGACCCGAGACGCTTCTGCAGCAGGACAGGAGGAAGCACGTTCGGGAGACCCGCACCCCGACTCTCCTTTCAAGGCGTTCGACTGCCCGGCCCCGAGGGAGCGGTGAGGGGACAGCACACACACGTGGACGGGCCACTGACCACTCCTCGTCGCCAGGAAGCAGTTGTCGGGACTGAAGGCCAGCGCCCCGATGCCGATCCTGGGGTTGGCTCTGTCGGCGGCAGGCTTCAGCGTCTGTAAGGAGACCGGCACCGAGGCAACCTCGTCTGGGCGTCAAAAGAGAGAGCACCCTGAGCCTCCCCGCGGGGCGAGGGCCTGCGGTCCTGCCCACAACCCCCTGTGGGGCGAGAAGCAAGCACAGGGCAGGATCTTACGGAAAACAGGGCTCGGTGGGAACTTGGCTGCGGCGCACAAGGCCTGTCCTTGCGCCCTCCCCTGCGAGGCCGTGTTTCCGGAGCTGCGACGGGCCAGGCGACACTGCAGGGCCTGGTGGCCGTCCCAGTGGCTCCTCTGACGCCCTAATTACGCCATTTTACAGACGAGTAACGTCCCAGGTCCCCGACACAGCTGCGGCATCTCCCTGAGCCCTCTGAGGGCCCTGCTCACCCAAGGAAGTCAGTGTTCATTAAAAAGTCGCCCTCAGAGGACCAGCCGTCAAATGAGGATTCCCAGGGCTTGTATTCAGTCAACAGAGCCAGTGGCCAGGCGGCCTGCTGGCTCACAGCTAAGAGAGACGCTGGCTACCAAGCATCGCAGGAAAGGAGAGGATTTGAAAAAACAACAAGGAGCGTCTGGAATCTACCTGGACCCAGAGGACTCTTTTTTCCATAATAAAAGGAAAGGAAAGGGGAGGAAGAGAGAGGCCCCCATCCCGGGCCCAGCTGCTCACATTCGCTCTCCGTGGAGGACAGGGGTCCAGCCGCTGCTCTGGGCGGAGGGAAGGCCAGGCGGCCCAGCACCAGTGGCGGGCTCTTCTCGGCCTCCTTGTACACCACCTAGAAGACAGACGGCCCGGGCAGGATGTGCAGCCGCGGCCCCGCTCACCGCGCCCTCCTGGGCACTCTCCACGAGGTCTCACCCCCAGGCCAGCACTTCAGCGGGGACGGGTGACAGACGGGCCAGGAGCGAGGCGGCGTGCGTCACCGGAGGCCTGACGGAAAGGACGAGCGGCCCGACACCTTCAGACCGCACCGGCCGCGGGGTGGAAGGACCTCCAGCGAACGCTGTGAGGCCTGGGGCGGCGCCACCCGACCCGGCCGCCTTCCAGTCCTGTTCCTGCAGCTCCAGCAGGTCCTCCAGTCCCTGCCGGCGCCAGGGCTGCTTCCCTCCTCACCACTCACCCATCTTAGGTCCCTCACCAGCAGACAGCTCACTGGGTGTCTGCCCCATCCCTGCTGTCCCCCAAGGCGGGCTGTCGCTCCGGGTCCCTAAGGTCTCCGAGCACCCAGACCGGCGCCCGCTGAGTAAATGGATGCTTGTTCCCACCTCAGGGCCTCTGCACTCCTGCACTCCTGTGCCTCTTCCTACCGCCGGAACTGCTCCTCCCCAAACCCTGCGCCACCTCCTCCCCGTGCCTGCCCCAGGACCCCTCGGCAGGCAGCCTTCCTACCCACCCGGGGAAGACACCAGCCCTCCCAGCCCCGGCCCAGACTCCATGGGGCAAGGGTCTGCCTGCTCTTCTCCGACTGGCCCAGAGCACAGTGGGTGCGGGTGCTTGGCGCCTGCAGGCAGGGGACCCTGTTCACAGCGCAGAGCAGGAGCTGGTCCCAGAGCGAGCCGCAGGGCTGGGGGCTGGGGAGGGGAAGGACGCCACTTTGGAGCCCCCGGGAATGTGGCAGGAGAAACAAAGGCCACTGGGCAAGTCTGACGTTTGAAATGTTACAGTATCAGAAGGTTATGGGGATGTAAGTACCTGTAGCGCCATAAGTAACAGAAAGTGAAAAAGCAGCTTTCGACCCCCTTCCCCAAATACTGTTCAAGCAGAAACGTGCTTCCACACTTACTATTTTGGGATTATTAATGGTCGCGGGATGCCCGAATTCTGTGATCATTTTCCATGTCACGTGGTTAAGAATCCGCACCTGTGGTGGGGGGCGGGGGGGATGGAAACCACGTGGTCAGAGCCGCCGGGGCACTGGCCATGGGCTTCACCCCGAGGACGCCCTCCCACCTTTCCGTCGTAGCTCCCGACTGCCAGGAACTGACTGCTGGGGCTCCAGGCCACGGACTTGATGCCCAGGGACCACTCGTAAGCACAGAATGTAGACAGCAGCCGGCCGTCCAGGGAGTAGAGCAGGATCTTGTACTGCCGAGACATTGAAATTGTTACTGAACCCAGCGCGGAGGCAGTGAGACTCGGGGCGGGGACACTGCCCTCCCCGACGGCGGTGGGAAACGGGGACGTGGGACCACAACTAGGGGAGCCAAGCGGTAACACGGTGGGAAGGGGGCTGGGCGCTAACGAGCTCCTCGGCTCAGACGTGGGACCACAACTAGGGGAGCCAAGCGGTAACACGGTGGAAAGGGGACCACAACTAGGGGAGCCAAGCGGTAACACGGTGGGAAGGGGAACCGGGCGCTAACAAGCTCCTCGGCTCGACGTCTGAAAGACGCAGTTAATGCTCTCGGCGTTCAGAGGCCGTGAGAGAAATACTGGCATCGGCGCTTAGAGCAGAAAGGGTCCCGAGTGGGCTGTCTACCTCCAGGCAGGAGTCCCAGGCGGCCAGCACGCAGCCGTTGGGGGCCCACTCGATCCCGGCCAGGTCCTGCGTGTCCGTGTCAAAGTGCTTGCCGAGGCGGGCGGGGGGGGAGATGAAATTGAAAATGTTTTCAACAGATACACGAACGTTTATTTTATAACTGATGTGTTAACATTCAGTATTTAATATCCTCATCTAGCCACGGACAGAAACGTGTACAGCCGTGTCCTCCTGCTGTGACGTCCGGCCTGAGCGCTGGGGAGGTTCCAGGCCGGGCACACGGGGCTGCGACGTGGCTCAGGCCTCCGTCCGCCCCGCGCCTGTACCTGCTTCTTGCCTGGCTGAGTCTTGTGCCTTTAAGACCAGCCCAGGCAAGACCCTCCCAGGACATCCCTGCCCCGTCGAGGAGGCCTCTGTCTGGCGGCATCCGGGGGTCCTGCCCGGCCCTGTGCGTCTGTGTCCATGGCCTCCTGCCCCACGCAGGCACGTGCTCAGTATTAAACTCCGGCTCACTCTTCCGCCTGATGCAGCCACACGTATGCAAATACCACGGAACCAACAGGAAGGGAGGTGGCACCAACCTGGTGGCCTGTTAACTGTGAACACACCGCAAGCACGCGTCATCTCAACACATCCTACGAACGCCTGCCGGTGTGCGTGCCACGTGGTTACAGGCAGCACCGGCCTTTGGGAATGTGGAATCACATTGCTCCATACCACGCGGAAGATGCCCCGGAACCTCAGACAACGCACTCCTCCCCTCCCCCCACGCCCCAGGGTCACTCCGCTCCCAGGTGGGGACAAGTCTCACCCGCAGGAGCTGCCAGTCACTGCAGACCAAGATGCTCACGTAGTCTTTGCAGTCCCGCCGCTCGGCCAGCGCCAGGTAGCGGCCGTCCCTGGTAAAGGTTATTCCTGCCGAGAAGAGTGAAAGGTCCCGGGATCGAGAAGCAGATTGCAGCAGTGGTTTTCAAGTTAGAACGAGAAAGAGAAAGCAGAGGTCTGAAGAGGGGGACGTGGCACGCAGAGCCCAGCGTCCGCGGCAGGGAGTGTGTGTCTACACAGGGCGGGGTCTCCACACCCTTGCTCAGACTTCTGACCTGCAGAGAACCTGCGAGAAATACACAGTGACCTGAGCCCTGACGAGCCCCAGACCATTACTGGGAAATGTGGTGCCCTACGGAGTGTTGTGGTCTTAGGAAATTAACCGCAGGAAACTCAGCTGGTTCAGAGCAGGCTTGTCATGATGTTTCCTATTTTTACTTTTGAATTTAAATTTGGGAGAAGTCAATTCAAGGTAAGAATCTGGCTGCAACCAGACTGTACTTTCTGGGTCCGTATTAGCGAATCGAGCCCGTGGCCACATTTCATACCTCATGGGTCAAAAGAACACCTAAATGACAAAGCTGTCATTTCCACCAAGAAGGGTGTGTGTCATCTGGAGAGACACTGATATTCAAACTATAAAAATAAAAAATGAGTGTACAATTGCACACCATTCACACGTGAGGTTCAAACTGCTGACGGCAAGAGAAAAAATGGAAAAATCATTCAAACCATGTACTGCTTCTTTCTGTTTCTTAACTGAAATACCGCCATGTAACTTCAGGACTCAAGAGAGGGGGGTGCCCAACTGGCTCTCAGCTCAGCTAAACCCGCGGGGGCGGGCTCCCCGCCGGCACAGAGGACACGCGCCTCTGGCCCTCCTTGGTGATGTCCAGGTGGGACAGGTCGCCACTTCCCCACTCCAGGCCTCACAGAGTTAAGTCAATGGAGGATTCGGTTCAGAATCCGGTGTGTGAGGTGGGGGTGCGAGACTGACATGAACTGGAGGGACCTGAGCACCCGGTCCGGCAGCAGATGTAAAGGGTTTACGTGTAAGTCCTTCTTCTTTGACGTCCTAAAGGACAATATACCCTCCTTAGTCACTGACGTCGCGTACAGGAGAAGCCCTAGAGACACAGGTGGGAATGGTCACAGATGAAGTACTCACTAGGAGGTCTGGGATGTACTTTTAAAATAATCTGGGGGTGGGGGGGTGGGTATAGAGAAAAAACACTGGCTATGAGCTGACACACGGCTGAGGCCTTGCCTGTGTATGAAATTTTCCAAGGTAAAAATGTCCCCAAGCCCCAAACTAAGACAGAGGAATGGCTTCTGAGTGCCTCTGACCGACTCACCCTGCTGACAAGCCTTAGGGTACTTGATGTAGGACACGGACTTTGTGCACAAGGACCAGACAGTTATCCGCAGCTGCCAGGGGCAAAGGGAGGGAGAAGAGAAAGGAAACAGCATATATTTAGCGTCTTTGGAGAGACCACTCCAAGTCGTAACCAGATCGTCAGCACCCAAGCCAGAGATTCCCGCAGCAGTTCCCGCATCAGCGGTCCTGTGGTGTTTTCTGCCTGAAGACGTGTGTCAAACTCACATTTTACGATCGTTACATTAAAATTTTTTTTTGGCCGCACCACACGGCTTGTGGGATCTTAGTTCCCTGACCAGGGATGAAACCCGGGCCACAGCAGTGAGAGCGCAGAACCCTAACCACCGCTGGACTGCCAGGGAAGTCCCATGTTTGTTAAATTTAATGCTCCTGGTCCTTGGTTTTCATTTTGTGACAATATTATCTGAGTGACAAAGTTAAATACAAGTGCGTTTTAGTTCAAAGTACAGTCATCCCTCCTTTTCGGCCTAATTTATGTTTTATCACAGGCACGTCTGTATAGGAAACAGCAGCATATAGAGGGTTCAGCACTGCAGGGGTTTCAGGTATCCATGGGGTCCTGGAAGGCATCCCCTGCGGATAAGGGTGGGGGGATGCTGTAGTCACAGTTTTCACATAATAATAACCCTAAACACGCTGCTTAGAGAAACACGTCTAGGAGGGAAGCCACGCAGGACACTCCTCAGTCCTCTGAAGCAGATGAAGGGTGAGCAGCTCTGCCTCACCGGGCAGCACCAGGCTGGCAGGGACGGGAAGTGGCCCGACTCTGCACACGGAGGCCTCTGCGGAAGATTTCTGGGGGACCCACCGTGGGCACATCACGCAGGTAGCGACAGCTGTCCAGGCTGTTGCAAAATGGCCGGAAGCAGACGTGTCAGTGAGGGACCGGCGAGTGCGCCAGGGATGGATGCCTGGGCTCGGGGAGGTGCGCTCGGGGTCGGGGTGGGGGGGTACCCAGAGCCTCCGCACTGTCACCCCGGCCCTGTGAGCAGGCGAGGCCCCCGCACCCAGGCACGGGGAGGGCTGCTGGAGCCGCCCCAGACCCCCTTGGAGCCTCAACGTGAACAATCACCCTTGACCGGAGTTTCCAAATGTTTCTTTTGGAAAAGCATGTCCACACCGTTCCCATCGGCCGTCAGGGAAGGTAAATGGGCGCCCTGCCACCTCCAGCTCCCGCAGCCCCCAGGCCAGTGGACACGGAAGCTGTGTTTACCAGGCGTGGTTGTGAGGTAAGGAACACGGGCTGGAAAACTGCTTTCATCAAATAAGCATAGCTTTAAAAACTGTGGGACTTCACATGAAGTAAAACGCAGGGCCCCGCGTTTCTGTACCAGTGTGATTCCTGCAAGCTAGGCCCTTTTTCTTTTTTAGCTTAGGAGGTTTAAAAAATGAATTAACTGCATTTTCTCCACATTGTCTCTTAGGAAAGAAAAGAATCTGATGGAAGAATCTGATGTCCTGAACTGCCTCTGTGAAAAGCTCACGTGGCATTTAGGGGAGACAAGGGATGCAGACAAGCTGCAGGGTTGGCGGCACTTCTGGGCTGTACTCAAGGTAAAGCGCTTGTCCATCTAAGGCAAAGGTACAGGACGTGCAGACGAGGCATGGCCCAGGAGTGAGGCTCACCCTGACGACAGGCTTGTTCCCTGTAAAACCTCCTGCTCTCGGAGGCCAAGGAGGGTGGAAAGGCACACCCTTCCCAGCCCAGCAGGTCTGGGTGTTAAATCCACCTGGACACGCACAGTCGGCGCCATCAGGCCTGGAACACCTGTCCTCCAGGTGAGCGAGGGAGAGGAGGGAAGGCCCAGGGCGCTCCTGACTAGAAGCCTCCAATCCCCTGCCCCATCCACACTTCTCTGTTAAAGGTAGAAAAGACACAAAGCACCTAAGCCTGATTTTTACCCGCCATCCCCCATCAAAAACCGTTAAAAGAAACCCAACTGCGTGTAACCTTAACAAATGCAGTGAGAAAGAGGCAGATAAACACCCGCCTCCCCTCCGTGAGCTCGAGGAGGTGGCAGCACCGCAGGAAGGGAGAGCGCAGGGGGACAGGCCAGAGGTGGCCGAAGGGCAGGCTCCCGGAGGGCCGCCGACCAGGCCCGCTTCTGTGCCCACCCACACACCCTGCGGCGGGAAAGCGGAGGCCAGGGGGCCTTGACCTGGGATTTCAGGTCTGGTGCCACGGCATCACCGTCACCACCAAGGGTCCTTCCAAGGTGTCGGCCCTTCAGCAGGACCCCCCTCTGGGCTGGGCTGTGCTTTCAGGCATTGCCACATTTAAGGGTGAACTGAAACGCTAATCTCGCCAGAGAACAGTCACTTTTGAGAAAGAGTTCCTTAGCTCATCTCCTTTTCCACAACACTTTCTAATGGTCTTCACGTAAAAAATAAGTACATTTTTATTACTTGATCACTGCTGCCGGTGACCTGGAAAATTCCAGTACTTAAGCAAAAATACTTAAAATGACCTTTTCCAACTCAGAGATTGTTTGGAAAATTAACTCAAGAAACACAGCAGGGCTTCCCTGGTGGCGCAGTGGTTGAGAGTCCGCCTGCCGATGCAGGGGACGCGGGTTCGTGCCCCGGTCCGGGAGGATCCCACATGCCACTGAGCGGCTGGGCCCGTGAGCCATGGCCGCTGAGCCTGCGCGTCCGGAGCCTGTGCTCCGCAACGGGAGAGGCCACAACAGTGAGAGGCCCGCGTACCACACACACAAAAAAAGAAACAGCAAACTGACAGCAGCCCACCGAGTTCTTTATCAGTATGGATGTGCATGGCTTCCCTCTCTTGTTAGAAGTGGAATGCATTCAGAGGTCAAATTCCTCCCGGTTTACACACGTACACCTGCGTGAACACCCTTGGCCCTTCCCCTGGACTGAAGCAGAGTCAAGAGCTGATACAACAAAATTTAAAACTTTGGAATAAATTTTATAAAGCATGTACAAGATCTATACAATGAAAATATCGCTTAGAAAAAAAAATTTAAAGACTTAAGAAAATGAAAAGTATCCTATGTTCGTGGATCCAGAGACTCAGTATTGTTAAGATGGCAATTATCCCCAAATTGGTCTACAGATTCAACGCAATCTCAACTTTAAAATCCTGGCACAATTTTTTTTTTCTTTAGAAATTGACTAATTTATTCCAAAATTGATACGGAAATACTAAAGACCCAGAATGGCCAAAACGACTTTGAAAAAGGACAAAACTGGAAAACACACTGATTTGGGTTTCCAGACCTACTATTAAGCTTTAGTGATCCGGAGCATGTGGTATTGGCACAAAGACAGACTAAGAGATCAATGTAACAAGACAGAGTCCAGAAACAGACCCACATACCTACAGGCAACTGATTTCTGACAAAGGTGCAAAGTGGGGAAAGGACAGAAATTCAAGACAAATCACACATCTAAACTTAGGAGCTAACATCATAAAAATTCTAAAAGAAAACAGAAGAAACTCTGTGATCTTGGGTTGGGCAGGGATTTCTTTAGACACAAAGTGCACAAATGATAAAAGAAAAAATTGACCCATGAGACCCCGTCAAAATGAAAGACTGCTCTTTAAAAGAAACTGTTAACAAAAGGAAAAAGCAAGCCAGAGACCAGGAGAGAATATTCACGAAACATGTATCTGACAAAGAACTTGTAACCAGAACCTTACAGCTCAACAAGAGGACAAACAGCCTAATAAAGAAACGGACGGATGACGTGAACAGATGAGTTACAGGACGCTTAGTATTATCAGTCACATGGAAAGCCCACAACGAGACGCCAGCACACATCCGACTGCCTAACAGAAGCGGCTGTGATGAGCAGCGTTGGTGAGACTATGGAACAAACTCCTGCACTGTTGAGGGGAAGGCTAAACGGCACAGCTACTGCGGAAAAGAGTCCGCGGCTTCTTAAGCTGTAAACATACACCTCCTGGCACCCCCCACTCCAGGTTTTTACCCAAGAGAAAGAAAAACCCGCGTCCGCAGACAGCCCTGTGAGGATATTCACGACAGCTCCATCGGCCAGCGGGTGATACACACACAGGGTGGGGAATCCACACGGGGACACCACCCAGCTCCGAGAAACCGGAGCTGATGCCCACAGACGCGGACGGATTTCAAGAAGAGCATGAGGCCGAGTGATGGAAGCCAAACACAAAACTCTGCAAGCCACGTGGCCCCTCTCACATGGAATCTGAACTGTAAACCAAGAGCGGCAGGAAGCAGGCCAGAGGTGGGCAGCAGGATGACTGGAGCGCGGGAGGTGCCCACTGGCTGGTGTAAGCGCGCTCCATCCCCCCCGGGGCGGCAGCCACGTGTCCCAGCTCACGGTCCACACGCTTAAAGTGGGTGAATGCTGCTGTTCATAAGTAGCTCCAATTGGCTTTCTTGAGGTAGAAGAAAAAGTTTTCAGGTCGGGGTTTATTTTTTTAAGCCAACTACAGGCTATCTACAACATACGTACTAAAATTTAAGGATACGGAAAGGCTGAAAGTCAAAGGATGAAAAAGATATACCCTGAAAGCCCTAACCACGGAAGGATGGCATTTGATGCCATCATCTGACAAAACACACTGCAGAACAGAAGAAACTATGAGACGCGAAGAACCGTTTATAATAATAAGAGGCTCAGCTCACCATGAAACCTGGAACAGCTCTAGTAACAGAGCCTCAAAAACACACGAGGAAACCTGGCAGAGCAGAGGCAGCGAGGAGGGCACAGCCCTGTTACATGTTAACATCCTCTAACACAGGAGGGAAACGGGCCAACGATGGCACAGAATGGAAAATCGGAACCGATCACGTCAGTGTAAAGAAATTCAGTTCTTGAGACAGGTGGTAAAGACGGACTTAACAAACCCTGTTGGGAACAGATAAAAATGGATTCACTCCTCACACCACCACTATAAACTCCACGTGAACCTGAAATACATATTTAAATTGTGTGCGTGGGTGTGTATAAAATAAGACATGGAAACTCGACGTCACCAATACTTAGAGAAATGAAAATGCAAACCACAGTGCAGTACCACTGCAGTTCTACTGGACTGGCATCCATTTAACATACTGGTCAAACCGCATCTCCTACAACCAGGCGACCTCCCCTCCCCAAACGTCCGAGAGAGAACGCCTGGATACGGGCCGGAGCAGACGCCCACAATCCATTCCCTGCAGCAGGGACTGCAACAGCTCCAATGCCCAGCACCAGCAGGGTGGCTGCATAAACCGTGGCATGACTTTCCCTACAAGGACTAAAAGAAGCAGTCAAACCCTCGACGTGGATGAATCTCAAAAACGATATCGAGGGGGAAGAAAGAACCACAACAGAACACAGAGTATGAATTCATTTAAGCAAACTTTAGACAAATGCACATCATAGTGTATGGTGTCTGCACACACACGTGCACACACAGATAAGACCTTGAGGTAAGGACGGACGTGCTTAATGCAAAATGCAGAGCGAGGGGCCCCGCGGGCTGAGGTGGGGCCCACAGACACCCTGCAGTCCTGAGCGTTCTGTTCTCAGGCCTCACGGCAGCGCGCAGGCTGCCTGTCAGTGAACCTTGTCCAAAGAGCACGGTTTCTCTTTCACACTGACAGGTGCCTGTCTGGGGGCTGGATTTGGGCCCGAAGAATTATAAGCATGAAGCCTTTTAGATGAGGCTATATGAATAGCTCAAGTTCTCTCCAACAGCCCTGTAAAATGTCAACGTGTGTAACGTGGAGAAACCAGGCCCCCTTCACTTGCTGTCTCCCTCCCCAATGGCCTAAACTGGCAGACATCAAACTCAATATAATGAGGCCCGTGAGCCATGGCCGCTGAGCCTGCGCGTCCGGAGCCTGTGCTCCGCAACGGGAGAGGCCACAACAGTGAGAGGCCCGCGTACCACACACACAAAAAAAGAAACAGCAAACTGACAGCAGCCCACCGAGTTCTTTATCAGTATGGATGTGCATGGCTTCCCTCTCTTGTTAGAAGTGGAATGCATTCAGAGGTCAAATTCCTCCCGGTTTACACACGTACACCTGCGTGAACACCCTTGGCCCTTCCCCTGGACTGAAGCAGAGTCAAGAGCTGATACAACAAAATTTAAAACTTTGGAATAAATTTTATAAAGCATGTACAAGATCTATACAATGAAAATATCGCTTAGAAAAAAAAATTTAAAGACTTAAGAAAATGAAAAGTATCCTATGTTCGTGGATCCAGAGACTCAGTATTGTTAAGATGGCAATTATCCCCAAATTGGTCTACAGATTCAACGCAATCTCAACTTTAAAATCCTGGCACAATTTTTTTTTTCTTTAGAAATTGACTAATTTATTCCAAAATTGATACGGAAATACTAAAGACCCAGAATGGCCAAAACGACTTTGAAAAAGGACAAAACTGGAAAACACACTGATTTGGGTTTCCAGACCTACTATTAAGCTTTAGTGATCCGGAGCATGTGGTATTGGCACAAAGACAGACTAAGAGATCAATGTAACAAGACAGAGTCCAGAAACAGACCCACATACCTACAGGCAACTGATTTCTGACAAAGGTGCAAAGTGGGGAAAGGACAGAAATTCAAGACAAATCACACATCTAAACTTAGGAGCTAACATCATAAAAATTCTAAAAGAAAACAGAAGAAACTCTGTGATCTTGGGTTGGGCAGGGATTTCTTTAGACACAAAGTGCACAAATGATAAAAGAAAAAATTGACCCATGAGACCCCGTCAAAATGAAAGACTGCTCTTTAAAAGAAACTGTTAACAAAAGGAAAAAGCAAGCCAGAGACCAGGAGAGAATATTCACGAAACATGTATCTGACAAAGAACTTGTAACCAGAACCTTACAGCTCAACAAGAGGACAAACAGCCTAATAAAGAAACGGACGGATGACGTGAACAGATGAGTTACAGGACGCTTAGTATTATCAGTCACATGGAAAGCCCACAACGAGACGCCAGCACACATCCGACTGCCTAACAGAAGCGGCTGTGATGAGCAGCGTTGGTGAGACTATGGAACAAACTCCTGCACTGTTGAGGGGAAGGCTAAACGGCACAGCTACTGCGGAAAAGAGTCCGCGGCTTCTTAAGCTGTAAACATACACCTCCTGGCACCCCCCACTCCAGGTTTTTACCCAAGAGAAAGAAAAACCCGCGTCCGCAGACAGCCCTGTGAGGATATTCACGACAGCTCCATCGGCCAGCGGGTGATACACACACAGGGTGGGGAATCCACACGGGGACACCACCCAGCTCCGAGAAACCGGAGCTGATGCCCACAGACGCGGACGGATTTCAAGAAGAGCATGAGGCCGAGTGATGGAAGCCAAACACAAAACTCTGCAAGCCACGTGGCCCCTCTCACATGGAATCTGAACTGTAAACCAAGAGCGGCAGGAAGCAGGCCAGAGGTGGGCAGCAGGATGACTGGAGCGCGGGAGGTGCCCACTGGCTGGTGTAAGCGCGCTCCATCCCCCCCGGGGCGGCAGCCACGTGTCCCAGCTCACGGTCCACACGCTTAAAGTGGGTGAATGCTGCTGTTCATAAGTAGCTCCAATTGGCTTTCTTGAGGTAGAAGAAAAAGTTTTCAGGTCGGGGTTTATTTTTTTAAGCCAACTACAGGCTATCTACAACATACGTACTAAAATTTAAGGATACGGAAAGGCTGAAAGTCAAAGGATGAAAAAGATATACCCTGAAAGCCCTAACCACGGAAGGATGGCATTTGATGCCATCATCTGACAAAACACACTGCAGAACAGAAGAAACTATGAGACGCGAAGAACCGTTTATAATAATAAGAGGCTCAGCTCACCATGAAACCTGGAACAGCTCTAGTAACAGAGCCTCAAAAACACACGAGGAAACCTGGCAGAGCAGAGGCAGCGAGGAGGGCACAGCCCTGTTACATGTTAACATCCTCTAACACAGGAGGGAAACGGGCCAACGATGGCACAGAATGGAAAATCGGAACCGATCACGTCAGTGTAAAGAAATTCAGTTCTTGAGACAGGTGGTAAAGACGGACTTAACAAACCCTGTTGGGAACAGATAAAAATGGATTCACTCCTCACACCACCACTATAAACTCCACGTGAACCTGAAATACATATTTAAATTGTGTGCGTGGGTGTGTATAAAATAAGACATGGAAACTCGACGTCACCAATACTTAGAGAAATGAAAATGCAAACCACAGTGCAGTACCACTGCAGTTCTACTGGACTGGCATCCATTTAACATACTGGTCAAACCGCATCTCCTACAACCAGGCGACCTCCCCTCCCCAAACGTCCGAGAGAGAACGCCTGGATACGGGCCGGAGCAGACGCCCACAATCCATTCCCTGCAGCAGGGACTGCAACAGCTCCAATGCCCAGCACCAGCAGGGTGGCTGCATAAACCGTGGCATGACTTTCCCTACAAGGACTAAAAGAAGCAGTCAAACCCTCGACGTGGATGAATCTCAAAAACGATATCGAGGGGGAAGAAAGAACCACAACAGAACACAGAGTATGAATTCATTTAAGCAAACTTTAGACAAATGCACATCATAGTGTATGGTGTCTGCACACACACGTGCACACACAGATAAGACCTTGAGGTAAGGACGGACGTGCTTAATGCAAAATGCAGAGCGAGGGGCCCCGCGGGCTGAGGTGGGGCCCACAGACACCCTGCAGTCCTGAGCGTTCTGTTCTCAGGCCTCACGGCAGCGCGCAGGCTGCCTGTCAGTGAACCTTGTCCAAAGAGCACGGTTTCTCTTTCACACTGACAGGTGCCTGTCTGGGGGCTGGATTTGGGCCCGAAGAATTATAAGCATGAAGCCTTTTAGATGAGGCTATATGAATAGCTCAAGTTCTCTCCAACAGCCCTGTAAAATGTCAACGTGTGTAACGTGGAGAAACCAGGCCCCCTTCACTTGCTGTCTCCCTCCCCAATGGCCTAAACTGGCAGACATCAAACTCAATATAATGACGAGATGAGCTCACACCACCCCAGCCTTCCCTGATCCCCTAATGTGACACGCTGCCGAGATGAGCTCACACCACCCCAGCCTTCCCTGATCCCCTAATGTGACACGCTGCCGAGATGAGTTCACACCACCCCAGCCTTCCCTGATCCCCTAATGTGACACGCTGCCGAGATGAGTTCACACCACCCGAGCTATCTCTGATTTACTGTCAGACTTCAAATGTTCTTCGCGCTCAGAGCTCCTGCCCAGGGCCCCATGTCCCAAGTAAGCCCAAGGCTTGAAGAGGAAATGAATGAAGAGGTTAGAAACACACAGATCAGATGTCTTGAGGGAAAGATGTAAATTTGTTCATCCTGAAGTTCATTTTCAATTGTTGAATCAAAGAACCTGTTTAAATCCTTAAAAATATAATTTAAGCTGTTCTTTTAAAAAAATCTTTTCTTTTCATTAAAACTGGGCAAAAAGATTATATAACAACACTCATGGGCTTATAATGCTCTGACCACTTACGACGTATACCCTTCCCCCCAAACCACCCACTCTAACGCTCCCAAGCAATTCAGGAGGAGGGGGCATTTGGGGCGTCCCACTCACGTGGAATTCCGTCGTGTTGAGGATGTGGCGCCCATCGGGGCTCCAGCAGGAAGCCACCAGCCCTGCCGAACCCTCGTCTATTTTGCAGTGCCACTCTGGCTGCTCCAAAGACCACACCTACAGTCACAAGAGAGAGACGAGTCAGTGCGCTACGTAGGCTTGAAGACAACCGGCCAAGAGCTGTGTGGAGGCAAACACGGGCGAGCCCTCGGAATCTTCCAGCACGAAGGGCTGGGCCTGGGTTGCACCACAGAGGTAAGGCGCGCTTCTCGGTGACAGCGTGTTGCCGTGCTTCGAAGGGTGCACCCCTCTGCTATCCCTGAGACCTCACTTAGTTAGGTTTGGGGTCTACAACAAGACACATCTCAGCGCTCCCACACAGGACGAGCGAGTTGCTGGGCTGCCCTCTGAACACTGCCTGTTACTGAGTTAACTTGGTTACAGATCAAGGACACTTAAGTGTCTTCTTACCTTAAAAGTACTTAAACTATGAGCGAACTATTAACGGCCTTTGAGCTGTGCTGCCTCTTCTTCCAGACCGGCAGGGCACAGGACAAGGCCCTTCGCGGGGCTACGCTCCGGGACGGGGGGCGTCCGAGCCTCGGGCCACAAACCTGCACCAGCCCCCGCTTGTAGAGGGCACACAGGATGAAGAGCGAGTCGGCCGACCACTCGATGTGCTGGATCTGGTCCAGGCACGTGTACAGCTGGCAGATCTGGAGGGTGTTGGCATCCCGGACCACTAACCGGTACTGGACGCAGGAAGCCTGGAGAGGGAGGAGAGAGGCGGGCGGTGTGGGCTCTGGAGGGGAGTGCTCTCGGCGCGGCGGCGCGGCCCTCCAGCCAGGGGCTGCCTCCTTCTCTCCCTGCACACACGCTTCCTGCCTAGATGGCCTCGTGCTCATCACGTGGACAGCCTGTTCTCAACAAAGAGGAGTTAATGGAAGATAAAACTGAAATGTGCAAACCAGGTGCCCAAACTGTTGAATCCCCGGAGAAAGTATTATTTTCAAACTCTCTACTGGAGTCATGTTCTACTTTCTTCACTGTGGGACTAACTCTGAAGCAGGAAATGGCAGTGCGGAGAGGCCCATCTGTAAACAACCCAATCCTCTCTGCTTCCATCACCTGCAGACAACCTGTAAGGAGTGAGCAGGGAGGTGCAGGGCTGCGGGGGAGAACGACCCCAGAAGCGCAGTTCCCTTCTGTTCAATGTCTGACTTGGAGCCTAAGCAACAGAAAGTCAACATACAGGTTTGAAATTCTGCAGGTGTAAGGACGCTTCATAAATGCTCATTGACCTGTGATGAGAGAACAGAAAAGACATGTTGGTCTCTGCCCTCAGGTCCTGACACAGGGCTCCTGAATGAAACCCGTGCAATTTCCTGGGTGACAGGAGCGTCTTTTGTTCTAGAGTGGCAACTCTGGGTGGGCTCCTGGATGGGGCTGTCACCCGGAAGACCAAGCCAAGATCAGAAGCTTGGAAATTTCAGCCCCACCCCCCTTTCTCTTCGGCGAAAAGGACTAAAAATGGAGTTAATGATGGCTCAGGCCCATGCGATGAAGGCCCCGTAAAATCCCAATAATACGGGGTTCAGAGCTTCCAGGGGGGTGAGCACAACCAGACACGGAGGGTGACGCACCCCAGATTCACAGGGACAGACGCTCCTGCACTCAGGGCCCCCCGGACCTCACCCTGTGTATCTCTTCATCTGGCTGCTCATCCGTGTCCTTCACCATATCCTTTAATAAACTGGTAAACGTGTTTCTCTGAGTGCTGTGAGTCACTCTAGCAAATCAATGGAACCCAAAGAGGACATCATGGAACCTCTGACCTATAGCCAGTTGGTCAGACGCACAGGTGACAACCTGGACCTGCAACTGGCGTCTGAAGGGGGAGGAAGCAGTCTTGTGGGACTGAGCCCCTAACCTGTTGGACCTGGCGCTCTCTCCAGGTAGACAGTGTCGGAATTGAGTCAAACTGTGGGACACCCAGCTGGCGTGGTGGACAACTGCTTGGTGTGGGGGAAAAACCCCACACGGTTGGTGACCAGATGTGTCAGAAGTGTTGAGTGTGGCAGTCGTGTGGGACTCATAGGAGGAAGGGCTGGGGGGTTCTTACACACCCACAATAACTTATTCCTAATCCTGACTCTGAAAAGTTTAAGTGTTAATACAGTTTTCTTAAAGATACAGTTACTTTATGTCTATATTTGTTAATAATATCCAAATCCAAGCAAATAATTTCTATGATTGAGTAAACGTACCTGCTAATAGGAGAGTACCTCACAGTTCAAAAATCAAGAACTGACTTTTCAATGTTAATTGCTTCACTTTTGTATTTATCAAGGTCAAACTGGATTATTGGATTTTTGTTTTATAAACTCCCATTAAAAAAAAGCCATAAGAGGAATGGCAACATGGCCCTACTTTTTCCAGCACCTAGGATAGAGCTTGGAAGAACATGGTTCCAGTAACATTACTGTCTAGTGCTCACGATATTTAAATCAGAAATATCTGATTATTTTGGTGTAAAACCCAAAAAAGTACCAAAATTAAATGAGGAAATATAACCTCTCTCTTTATAATTCACTAGAATTTTCATAAATGACCAAAGGGGGGTGAACCCCTAACGTATGCGGGAGTATTTTGAATATACCAAGGTTTTTTGGGGTGCCATTTAAGCTAAAGACATTTTGTATTTTGGAGCTGAATGCCATATTATGTGATTTAGAATAAAACCTCCACAAAGAAGGCAAACGTGTACATCCATCCTCAAAGAACTAGATAAGGATGAAAGGAATGTTAACAAAACTCGAACTGAGAAAAGAATCAGGAAGCATCGGTTACTAATTAGTGAAACTAAGCACACTTTTTATAAAGCATAATTTTTCTTCTTCATGTCTTTCCAATGCCAATTATCCCTCAGCCACCACATGCCCTCACCCTAAGATTCTGAGGATATACACGGGTCACGCTGGTATATTTCAAAACTTAACTTTCATGTACAAGACAGCTCAGTGATGTCAGAAGCATTCTGCCACCCATGGAATCGGCAGCTCCGATCTCAGGAGTGCGGACAACTCTCTTTATCTGCGCATAGAAAGCTGTTATCTAAATCATTCATCTGGCATGTAGTAGAAACGGGTGAAGAGGGCTGGGAAAGGCGACAACAAGCAGCCGCACCACCGCACCAGTTTACAGCCAACTGGTAGACTATATACGTGCCTTTTGCGACAAACTAACAACAACGATCCGATATCTCCTGTGTCCTCAGATCTGTGAAGGCAGCATTGCTTTTACCTGCCTTTAACAGATGGAAACCCAGGTGCAGGCATCAGGCGGCTTCCTGGGTTCCCAGGCTGCAGCATCTTCCCAGGTCCCCTTCTCAGGGTCACCTGTCTGCAGCACCTGCCCGGGGCCCACACCTGCAGACCCTCGAGCTCCCTCCATCCGGGCCCAGCGGCCGCCCCGCTCTCCGCTCCATGGGTCCCCGCCTCCCGGTGAGGACAGGCGCCTCCCCGCTGAGGGCCCACCCTCGGCCCAGGCCCCGCGGCCGCTCACCAGGTACTTGCCGTCCGGGGAGAACTTGCAGAGCAGGCTGGAGAGCTTGAACACCTCTGAGAAGTTCATGGCGGCCGCTGGACCCCACGACCGCGAAACCCAACCCGCCCAGTCCGCCGCAACCGCCCCTCCGCGACCGGAAGTGACGGAGGACGAGCGCCGCAGCCAGTCAGGGCTCCGGGCGGACGCGTGCATTGTGGGGCTTGTAGTTCGCCACCCGGCACCCCGAGCGCCGCCGCGCCTTAAAGGAGACGCGGCGTTTCGTCCCACCCGGGATTTCCGCCGGTGCTCGGGTGTGGGAAGGTCCCCTTCAGCTAGGGTTGTCAGATAAAATGCAGAAAGTGCACTTAAACTGAATTTCACATAAACAACGAATCATTTTCTAGGATAAATATGTTCCCAAATACCACATGGCACGTATTTATGCTGAAAAACTACCCCCTTATCTGAAATTCAAATTTAACTGGCGTCCTGTGTGTCTGTGTATTTATAGTCATATATTTATATTTAATGTAAAGACATATTTACATGTAAATGTATTCAAACATAAACATGCGCTTGTGTATAGAATATATAATATAGCGCATAATACGTATATTATATTTTATACATGGAGTATGAATAAAATTCGTTATTCTTTGTTTGTCTTTTGGCTAAATCGGCAACTATGCCTGCAGCAAGGCCCTCACTTCACGCTCAGGAGCTGCTCTGATCCAGGAAGTAACGAATTTGACGCTTGCTCCGCACGGAGAGCGCGTGGATCGCGCGCACCCGCTTGTCCATCTCACGCGCGCACCTGCGCTCGGACCCGCGAGGAGGAGAAGGACACCCGGGGCCCCGCCGCACCCGCCCTCCGCACGGACGGGAGCAAGCAGCTGCGGTCGGCGCTGGCTCTGCCGACCTTGTCTGCCCCGTGAGGGCTTTGTCCCCTCGCCCACTAGGGACTCCGGGTCCTCTTCACCCAACATCAGCCTCCCCCCACACCCCCGCTAGGCCCTGCCGGCGCCTCTGCCGCCCCAAGATGACACGGACCCTGACACCCAACCCCGCCCCTGCGTTCTCAGAATCGAGACCCGGCCCGGGTCCTCCTCGCACCTCCGCGAGCCGGGCCCGCGTCTTCGCCCTGCGGAAGCCCACCGACTTCCCAGAACGAACGGGTAGGGGATGCGTACAGGCGTCCTGCTCGGCGGTGCCGGCCTTTTTTTTTTTCCCTGGCCAGATCAAACCCTGTGTGATTCGTCTTTGGGCGCCCCCCCCCCCTTACCCCGCACCTTGCAAACAGTAGGTTAGCCATAAAGGTGTGTGGCAGTCAGCCAGACGGGCCAGGTGAGGTGCGGACGCCGTGCACCAGTCCGGGGCTGCGCACAGTTCCACGGCAACATTGTCGCGTGGGTTCCCCTGGCCTGGGAGCCTCGGTCGGAGGGAGATAACGGGTCCCTTGAGCACCAGAAGGCAGCGTACAGCACGTGCCCGCCGCCTAGAGCCTTCAAAATTCGCCAGCGCGTCGGGTTCTCCAGCCGAGGCCCTAGGACTGGGTGAGAGCCCTGAAGAGCCCGTCTGCCCTGCGGGGGACGCGGACCATGGAGCCACAAGTGTCGGGGCCTGAGGGAAGTCTTCGCCTGAGGCGATCTCTGCGCGTAGAAAGCAATCCCCAGTGCACGACCCACGTGTCGCCTTGGACACCCGTGCGTACCTGCGCAACGCGAAACGGAATCCGGCCCCGGGGGCCGGGGGCGGGGTGGGAGGCGGCGGCGACCCGGGAGTGTTTGCGTACAGAATTATTATTCCCTGGGGGCCGTGGTCATATTCTCCGCCCAGGAAGAAAGCAGGCTGGAGCCGAGAGTCGCGTCCAGAGGGTCCCCGCGGATCCGTAATGCGGGCCGGGGCCGAAGCGAGGCCGTGACCTCCGCTGGGTGAGCGGTGTAGGTGGCGCGCCCTCCGGGGCGAAGGAGCCCGGCTAGTACCACCCGGAAGCAAGCGGCTCCATTTAACCCCGGATCCTGGGGTCGCGACCTTCACCCCTGTCCCTAGCAGGTCACAGCCAATGCGGACACTCCGCAGACCTGGGTGGCGGCGTGCCTACGATGCGCGGCCCTTCCCCTTCCCCTTGGATTCCCAGCGCCCGGCGCGCAGAGGTCCCGAGCCAGTGGGGGAGGAGGAGGGAGACCCGGAAGATGCGATGTCTCGGGGAAAGGAAGGCGTCGGGACGCGGAGTCTGCATCTCTGCCCCACACCCCGGCTTCCGCGCGCCCTTGCCCTCGCTCCCAAGCCGGTCGAGGGTCGCCGTCCCATCTCCGCAGCAGCAGGGCCCCGGCGCCCAGCCCGCGATCAGCCCGAGGCAGGCCCCGCCGGGGCCGACAGGGGCGACGCGCGCCAAAAGGCGGCGGGAAGGAGGCGGGGCGGAGCGTGCCCCGGGACCCCGACTTGGACGCGGCCAGCTGGGGGGGCGGAGCGCCGGGCGGCAACCTTGGCCCTAGCCTGGCCCCGCCGCCCAGCGCTCCTCCTGCCAACGGCTGAGCGGCCCGCGCTGCCTTCCCGCCGGCCGGCTACGGAAGGCGCTAACGCCCGCGGCCACCCCTCCCCGCGGCGCCTCCCCTCCCCGCGCCCATATAACCCGCCTCGGCGGCCCGCGCCCGCCCTGCCTCCCCGCCCGCGCCCGCCCAGCTGCATCCGCCTGTCGGCCCGCGCCTGCCTTGCGCCCCCGAAGGGGTTACGCGGCTAAGCCGGGGCGGGCTAGGGCATAGATTCCTGGGGCTCCGACGGCACCAGGTAGGCAGCGCGGGGACCTGGCGCGAGGGGCTTGGGCGCGGTTGGGCTCCGCCGGCGGGGCCTGAGCTCAGGGCAGCCGGCGCACTGGCTCGCGGCTCCGAAGCTGGGAGGCGGTTAGAGGAGACCGTGTGCACGAACTCGAGAGAGGGTGACATGGAGGCTACCCCGAGTCCGACCAGCTCGTGGGGCGGGGCACGTGGGGCGGCGGGGAGCCCGGGTCGGAGTCCAGCCGGCCAGGAGATGCGGCGTCCTGCCAGCAGTGCGGCGGCCTTTGGGGCCTGGAGCAGCCTCCCTGGGATTCCCAGAGGGCCTGCCTGGGGTTAACCCCTCTCCACCTCCGCTTCAAGGGGACGTGGAGAATGCGACCCCGGGGAGAGGCTCGTTCGGGGGTGCAGGCGCCTGTTGCTGACGAGCCCCTCCCCGCCGGCCCCCACTCCCTCTGCACCTGCGAGGGCTGTTACCGATCCGGAGGCGTTAGCCGCCCCACTCCTCACAAGGCTGAGTGAAACCCAGGTCTTCCCCTGGACCCGGAAAACTGGGCATGACCCCTAAGCTGGTCCCAGGGAGCCAGGTTCCAGAGCGGCATCTCTTGGTGGCCCTGAGCTGGCCGGGTGCCCCACCTGTCTGCCTCCTGAGTCTGTTCCAACTGGGGAGAGGATGGGTCAGAATGTGGTCCCTGGGCCGCCGGCCTGGCCAGAGGTGACACCTCTTTCCTGGATCCCTTCTCTCCTGGTCCTCCTGGCCTCGCACTCACCCTCCTTTTAGGCCCTGGACTGCGGGGTGGGGGGTAGTTATTATTACCTTCTTACTCAGCTCGTATTTTTGTCTGGTCCCTAAGTGGATTTGCACAAAGTATGCACGTGTCTGCATGAATACCTGGGTGACAGGTAGACCATTGTCAGTCAGCAAGGGGCTGGGGGGTGGGGGCGGGCGGGGGAAGTGTGCTGTTATCTCTGACCAGAGGTCATTTGGTCCAAGTATACTGCGGCCTGTTATTAAATACTGGACATTTGGGAGCCATTAGCTCAATGGTTTTCTTTTGTTTTGTTTGCTGACGTTGTTGCTGTTTATTTGTTTTAACCTTAATAGTTAGCTTTGGGGGAAAATGCACTGTATACCAAAAATCCAGCACCCATCTTTCGATTTACTCAGTAAAAGTGTAAAAAGAATTGTACTGAGAACAAAAAGACACTATTTAAAAACTTGCAACGTATGAATGTATGGGTTATGCGTGTGATTTTAAAAATAAGATAAAAAGGTGGGCGGGTACCAGAAGCTGTCAGGGTGTCCGCAGGAGGCTACCAGAGGAATGGGCGCAGGAAGCTCAGCCCTGTCTCGAAGTCCTGGTGAAGGTTCTGGAGAACAGGGTAGCTGTCTCCAAATTCCGCAGGGCAGCCCCATGGAAGGGCCAGTACGGTGCAGTGGTTAATCGTGTGGGTGTGGAGGTCAGAATGTTAGGGTTCAAACCCCCTCTTCACCGCTTACAAGTCAGGGACCTTGAGCAAGTTACCTAACCACTCGAAGCCTCAGTTTACCCATCTGTGAAAAAGGGCAGGAAGAGCCCCTGCCCCAGAGGACTGGGAGAGCAGTAACCAAGACGCCATGCC